ACAATGCGGTTTCAGAAACATGGACGAGATTGTCCACCAGCTTGTTGGGGAAGTTGAGAAATTCACTAAACTAAACGAGCTCCAAAACGAACTATCTCGGCTGCTTGTGAACGTCTGTGAAGACGCGGGTATACCTATAGACTACACCGGCCCCCGAAGGGATACCGCAAAGCACATAATATCCAACGCACTCAACGCCGTCTTTCGCCCTCTTGGCGCTGCGCCGGGGGTTATCTTACGAGCCACCGTACGAGCCACTTCGTTTGTGGGAAACTACATTCGACGTCCCCCGAGTTTGGAAACCCCACCGCTTCCACCTGCCCGACTGGAACGGATTGAAGACGACTTCCCCGACGTAGTAGAGCCCCCGCCAGCTGCGACCTGGCAACTCCCCACCTGGTGCACCTACCTCCTCAATGACCTAACGCTCTACAGCCAAATCCACCAAACACCCCCACCCTCAAATCCACGTAGGATGGACGAACTAAGGGCACTCATCTCCCTGTTAATATCGAACCAACTCATAACCCCAAACGACCTGATCCAGTACACTAAATGGTGGAGCAGGAGAGTACGGTTCCAAGCGGTCCGCATGGCCGACGAACACGTTGAACTATTCCGCCTTCCGGACTTAGACTTGATACACCCGGCTTTGAGGGGTGCATATCATTATCCTGGCGATGAATACGGAATGGACCTAGACTCTCTGGACTTGATTCGTAGGGAGAATGTCACGGCGAGAGGAGCGGAGTTACAGAGGGCTTTGGACCAGGAGAATGCTGATGATGGTGTTCGTGACAGCGAGAGGAGGAGAAGGGCAAGAAATATTGCCTGGCGGGGGTGGAGTTTAGATGTTAGTGATTATTTTAGGTTTGCACCAGCGAGGAGGTGGAGGGATGAATACTGATAGGAGGGGGGGGGCTTGTCACTGTATTTTTTTATTTTTTTTTGCGATTTCTGTGATATTTTGGATACTGAATCGTTCGAATCCTGTTCGTTTATTCCGGTGTTTCCGTCATTTGATCCAAACTACGAATCAGACTCCTGTTATCATACCTGCTGGCAGTGTCTGCCGATTATTAATAACTACATAACCCATCACTCGCAACCTGTAAAATTTGGTCCCTATCCCGCTCCCCATTTTTTCTTTCCCCATACGTGCGCAGCAATTCCGTATCACAACAACTCACGCTCCATGATCCAGGCCTGCTCAAGGGTTGTCATTTCTCCCAGCAAGCACTTTGCCTCCCGCCGTACACTTTTTTTCTGCACCCCTTCCCGCTTTCACCTTCCGGTGGGCACCCATTCCCCCAACTTCACCAGTGAGAGTTCAAGTTCAACATTATGCCTTTGTTGCTGTAATGGAGATCGATTAGCCCTTCGGACTGAGATCAATCGCTTCGACGGCACATTTGTGTGCTTTCCACCAAGACACAACATGTGTCCGTCCGGACGAGTCATTAATAGAGGACTTATTGTTGGTCCCGCGATGGGGTAAATGTGGGTGAGACAATTGCAGGTCGCTTTTGGGAGTGAGGGGTGGTGAGTGAGTAGTACAGCATAAGATCGGAACAATTGTTCCGTTCCTAGGCTGAATGAATATACGAATGAAGGGGGGGGGGAGGCATTTTGCGCTTACATGTTCGGGGGAGTGCAATTTGCACTTTTGAGGTTTGCTCAAGTGACCATATAATACCGGTAGTGCGAAGAACGCGGTGAGTTGGGGGGCTTTTCGTCCGAAATACTCGTACCGTCGTTAAGAATCATGACTCGGTGAGTCTTATGAACACTACTCGAGTATACAGTTACACTATCCTCGTATATACACTGTGCTCCGCGAGGAGTTGCGTTGTCTGAGAGGGTTGTTGGCACGCGCGCATTGTAGGAACTCCCGCTCCGGGATAGTTTTGTTTTTTTCAGCTCCTTGACTTTGGCGGAAAGGAAATGCCGATGGGTGGTGGCCGGGAGGGTAATTGGTACAAGTGCTCGTACTAGTACAAGTATGAGAGTACGAGAGTACTTCTGCTTTCCCTGGCTAGGGGGCAGTGCCGACTTGTACCCTGGACTTTCCAAGCACAAGTATCATGCTTCGGCTCGCCGGGGGGAAGTCTGACCACTCGCTCGTGCCTGCGATTTTTTAGCCAGCGGAGATGCGAGTGCCAGCCTCGGGGGCGTGAGACTGCTGCGCATTTACCGTAGCTCCATTCCACCGTAAAAATTGAACCAGACAAGTATTGCGCCCGCAGAAAATGACTTGGAAAAGAAAGCTTAAGTTGCTTTCCATCCACGATCGGTCATCGCAACACCCAAACAGGCCTTCAAAGGGAAGGAAAGCAGAAGAAAGTGCAAATACCGTTGCCAATCATCCCTTTTTCACTTTTCACTTCCCTGCTGCACGCCCAGAAAAGGTGCATCTTGGGACCAATAACTGTACGAGTAGAATGGAATGGAGGCGTATCAACGGCAGAAGCCTTCAGCCCCAGGAGGAGAGAACCCCTTCCGCTACCTTTTCAAGTTGAAGGGATTTGGTGCATGTAATGTCTTATTTCCGCACCCTACTTGTATTTAATAAATCTTATTATCCTTGTACTCAGGTAGGGGTGAGCATAAGAGAGGCCTGCTGGGGTTTTAACTGGTCAAAATTTCGTGGGTGCAATGGAAAGAGCCATTCTTGGCTAGTCTTGGCGCTTTTCCTGGAGGGGGGAAATAGGTCAGACGAAGGCAAAAAATTCTGACCCCAGAAACTTTGACTCCCTTATTGGCCGAATGACCTAGGAGCCAATGAGAACCAATTCCCCAGTACAAATCTTGCTATTTTTTTTCAGCCCTAGGCTAAATTCCTGTATTATCCGAGTCATTTGGCTTCTTAGAGCTTGGATTTTAGAATGATACAAGTACTGTATGGGCGGATATTTTTGGGTGTATCTTTTCACGTATGATAGCATTCCTGGCTATATTTTCTCTCTTTTCACCCTTCAGATGAGGAGGTTCCCGGGTGGTTATTGCGGTTTGGGGTTATTTTTTTCCCTTTTCTAGATTTTTGGAGCTTGTGCTTTTTGGTCATTGGCGGTCATTGATAGGCGGAGGACCCGGAGGGATGGGTGAACAGACTGGGGTTGGTGTTGTGGCATAGTTGGCGCTGCGGGGTGGTAGGGGTTATTGTGGGAGTCCAGCACGATACTGTGGCCAGAAGTACCAGAAGGTACCAGGGTCATACTCTAGGACTCAACTCGCCCACGTATTGAGCACAGTCTCATAATGGCTAGGTACGGTAAAAGTACGTTAGGTAAAAAAATAACAGACAAGCCCAATCACACCGCAACTCGAGCTACTGGGGTATCGCAGCCCAAGATGTACAGTACCACATCACGCGTGGTACCTATCGATAAGTCAAACCCTGCCCATAATCCAAGGTACTTCGTACTCTTGTTACTTGTATGAGTACTAGTATCATACAAGTACGAGTACATCCCTCCGCACTAGCCGTACCACCGCACCCGGAGGCCCAGGACAGGCCGGCCGCAGCCCCTTCCCACCCCTCCCGACCAATAGAGTGCTCAAAGGACCGAGAAAATTCCCACATTCATTGTAATAAAACCCAACTCTTCGGAACTTGGCGGAACTGCGGTACCGTACTCGAGTAGAAATTGCTGGAAAAATGCCAACAGGTGGGCGTGGGGTAAGGTGGTGCTAAATATAGCGCCCAGCGATGTCTCACATTCGGACAGGCTTGTACCACGTTGCAGCGACAGGATACTTGGGTCCTATGGCACATGTACAGTGCAACGTACCGTAGTGGACAAAGATGGAAGTTTACTGGGGGTTCGAGTGTTTTTTCCGAAGAGGGGATCGGTATCCTAGACTGCATGCGGTGGCGGAAGTAGACAAGGTATGATAGGAATGTAGGAATGGAAAGGGAAGTACTGTACTCGTACAGTATATACTAGGATAAAGAAAGGGAAAAAAAAAGTTTATTTGGACTACTGGATAGTGCGGCAATAGCTATGTCCCGCCGCATTATAACACTACCATACCCTCTAGCAGGGAATCGTGAGCCACTTGTACAATGTGTTGTAAGGCGCAAATACAGTAGCGTGCTTGTACGGCACTCGGATTACTTGCTCAGGTAACTAAAGCCCCACATCCCCGTGACATCCGGTTCTCAACTGTCGCAGATCACATCCAAGCAAAGCTTTTTTTTTGAGGATTTCTTTCCCGCTCTTGATCTTTACAAATTCTCAGAACGGGATCCAAGAGGGTTATATTTGGATTGCTGAAGTTTTCTTTTTTCTTTCCTTTCCTTTTCTTTTCTCTTCTTCTCGCCCTTCGTGGTTCTTGGAGAGAAGGAGATGAGGTCGCTTTGGTCCTGATCGCGATTGGTCGAGAGGTTGATGATGGGTTTGTATTCGATCAAAACCATAGCTTCTGCGTACTGTATTCTGGCATTGTAAAGTTTGCCGCAAGCAGCTTGCTTGCTTGCTCTCTTGATAGCTATGTGCTTGTACTACACGCGCTGCAGGAAGCCGAACTCGGACAGGGAGGATGGATAGGTGGAGAGTGTGGTACTGGCGGTGGCATCCTTGGTGGTATGATGAGAGCTCCAGAGGCAGATCATGATGGTGAGACATGGGTGGATGGCCATGCATATCGCCCGCACATGGGCTTATACGAGTAAGGTTAGACATTGGGCTGCAGTCAACTCTCTCATGTTGTCGCACCTTCAGGGAAACATGGAAAGGCGTACAGAACCACACACTCGAGTAAAGAAGGCCTGGTGATATTGTTTGTGGGAGTCACTAGGATCACCGCCCCGCCCGATTAGGATCGACTCGATTGCCTTATGCTTTTTTGATTTTTGTGAGATCACTTGAGCCTGGTTCTAATGATAGTGGATGGTATCGTGACTCAGTCCTCCTCAGACTCCCAGAGTGCTTTTACCCGAACTTGAGAAATGTATAAATTCTCCCTCTCCCATCCTCCCAGAGAGCCTTTCCTCCTCACCATCACCCGCATCCGCAAACATCCCACCTCATCAACTCGACCCAAGCCGCCTTCCGCATTCACTTTCGAGAACCAATTCAACCAACTTTATAACCACTCGCTCGCTATAAAAACAAAATGAAGTCCATACTCGCCGTCGTCTTTACCCTCCTCAGCTTTTTCCTCTTGACCTCCGCCGTCCCCGCTCACGGCCCGTCATGTGAGCAGTGCGATCCTATCCCGCCCAACAATCGCTGCGATATCACCACTTCTTGCATTCGCACCGAACCCAATGGGCAATACCATTGTGCATGCCGGTTTGTCCCCACTACTCTCACCTTCGGGTGCGATTGAGAAGGTAGCACTAATAATTATGAACTGGATAGTGCCGGATATCAAGCCGATGCTCCCGTTACTGATTCCACCACGCAATGGCGCACTAAGTTTATCGGGCAGGAGTACAGGGTTTTCGTCAAGCCCGGTGTCGTGTGCAATACTCTCTGCGCCGACTCCGCCCAGGGTGCCAACTCTTGCCAGGCAATTACTATTAGGCCTGAGTGCTCTTAAGTTTGTGCTTCAATTGCTTTAGGGGGTGTAGGATCGGGATTCTTGGACTTGGAAATGGATTGCGGGAGACCGGGCGTTTTGGCCTCTCCCAACAATAGCTGAGAACGGGAGTTTTTGGAACGTGGTGCATTTCCCAAGCTTGGACAATTTAGCGGTGGTTTGGGTTCGGAACCGTTAGTGGCTGGGATTGGTTTTAACAATGATTTCCCTTTCTTTTTTGTCAGGCGGAAGGCATATACGGTTGGGGTAATTTTCTTGTCGCTCTTTTTGTCGCTCTTTTTGCCCACTGTCAAGTTGTGGAGCGCCGGGGATGAATATAATTCTTGAAAATCTAGTTTATGACAATCTCGAGTGATATATTGTGATTTATAAACTCTTAGTAGAGAGCAACATCGACTGGCTCGAGGCCTACAGTGCCATAGTTTCAAGTGCTGATCTTTTAAATTCTTGAGCTCTGATAGTTAGTGCGGTCGGAAGACGGAGAGGCCCTAGCCCGTGGCTAGGCTATATCTATTCACAACTACTACGGTACGGTAGTCTTAAACCTGCGAATATTTTGATAGTGGTTTGGCAAAGCTATGATGGGTCCTTTGTATATCTCTTTCCGAAGTGGATGCGCTCTGCCAGACTTGTGGCAAATGACAATAGTGGTTATCATACCATATGTCTCTGGTTCCGAGACGTCCGAGACGTCCGTTAGTTCCTTCATTGGCCCAACAGAGTGACCAATAGCCTTCCCACCGCAACACTCCCAAAGGGCATCGATGTTATGCAGAACCTGAAAAAGAAAATGGAGGAGGATCACTTCTAGAATGCAACGGCTAACCGGCATCAGGACTGAAACGAAATGGCGATCAAACGGCGAAACGAAACGAAACGAAACGACGATGACTAAAGGCGCCGTGAAAAGTCTTCACAACAAAAAAGCGGGCAAGTTCACACTCTTGCTCCACAACTCGCTCGACAACTTGCTTTATTCCACGGCTCTCTCTCTGCTCGCTCGCACTCAACAACCAACCAACATATGCGGAAAAACAGGAGTATAAATAAACGACCGAAAGGCATCTCACACCCGCTCTATCAGGTCCCGCTCATACCCACACCTCTCCGCTCGTCCACGCAAGTTTCCCTTTCCTGTGCATGCTTCCTCGCTAACAAAAGGAACAGAAAGGAAACACTACAAAGAACTCTCCCATTTGCCATACGACTTCTGCCGTTGTACCGTTTCCGCAGTAGCATTGCTCCCGCGGCCATATGCCTTCCGCGCTGACAAAAGAAATGCGAGCTTCTCAAAAACTCCCGACAAAGTCCCTTTGACTCTACCGCTTTCCTCACGCTTTCCTCACACTTACTTCACGCCGGCACTACTCCCGCCATTATACGGATGTGCATTGCCATGGTGCACCCGTGGCAACCTTTGCGCCACGAACAAAGGACGGACAAACCAGAGCAAACAAGCGAACAAGCGGGAAGGAACGGGCGAACAGGTGGGAACAGACAAACAAACGACTCATAGACGGATAGCGGATAAACGGACGGCGGATATGCGGATGGTGGATAGACGGATGATGGGTAGACGGGCGACGGGTAAGGTGACAAAGTCATGAGCTTGCCGAACGGCATCCATGATTTCCAACAGTCACTCTCTCTTATTGTTTTTTACGATATCTCTTCGGATATATGGGTTAGGTTTTGACCGAAACCCTCCACTATCTATTTGCTCTATGATAGAATTAGTATACTCTGCCGCGCCATTACTCATGCCACTGCCTACCCCCGCGACCACGAACCCCGCCTTTTTTGTGGCATGGCCTTGGGTCGGAACATCAACTTAACCCAGGGCCGCAGTAATCCTTCCGTTTCATTTTTTCGTCTGCCAGTTGTCCAAGATTTTGCTTTCACAAGGGGACCAAGCGACAACAGCCAAGGGCTTGTGGGGAAACGTAGTAGATTCCACCTGAAAGCAAATACCACCCAAAGATATCCAATTCGCTTTTTATGTACCACACAGCCTCCATCCTTTTAGAACGCTTGTGGGGCTGGTGCCAGGGTTTTTATGGTGATTGGTGACTCCAAACTGACTGCTCAGGCCAATACGATATCTTGACGATAACGCTCTTTCCTGTTCACCACTTTACCGCGTTACAACGGGATTTCTAGCCCACGGGTGTCAATAGTTCTAATGGCGATTCTACTAATGTTTCCATCGAGAAAGGTTCCAACTGAGAGGGGGATCATGCTTGGGGGACCTGGCGCAATAGCATAGAACGGCGGCCGGTGGAATTAACTGGCCGGTCACCAAGAAATTGGCTCTCCCCCAAGACTACTCGAGTACACTAGAGCGGAAACCCTATGTTGGATGGTTTCGGGGGGGAGGCGAGGTTGTTGGAATGACCGGCGGTGGTGACAATGGTACACCTCCCCGGGGGGGGGATCGACACCAATATTGCCGTCAGTAGGGGGTTTGGTGCCCCTATTGAACTCGCAGACATAGTTTTATCGCAGCTTTTTTTGGGCAATTTGGTTGGCAATTGTGTACCCGGGCGTTTGCTGTTTTGTATGTGTACAGGTCTAGACGGGGTTAATTAGTGCTAACTAGGGTAAACGGCTGAAGGAAAAAACTGGCCTATCTCTCGCCCCCCCCTAGATCTTTTTCCGAACTTTGTATCGTATTATCATAATAATTATGTGCTTCTCATAATAATCTTTCGCGGGGATTGGGCTGATATCTAATAGGGTCCGCCATGATCAATCTTATCTTTGGGCTATTATACCGTATGATATGATACCATGGAACTTGTCTTTCTTTACAGGGCCACCATTTGGTAAAAGTTACGCTGAATGGAGCTCGAGACAAAGTCACTGATATCATCTTGGTCGTTTTATGGATTACGCCGATGAAGTCACCCTTGCATTCGAATACCGGTAGCCCGGAAGTGAAATCCTGACTCGCCGGCCAGAAAAGGATCGTCTTGTTGACGCCAGGCGTATTTTTGGTTTAGGGAATACTTGGGATGATCGAGTGTACTCGAGTACAAGTTCTATGCCAATTCCACTCGGGATATAATATCTAGATGCTCGCATTTTCCATGTCACAACAGAGTTATCAGTGGTGTTCTGGGAAGAGGGGAGGCGTTCCATTCGGGACAGGAATACGGCGTTAACGGACCCGATATGCTACCTCGATCTAGTCTCAGAAGTCACAAACGAGGTATATCCTCTGGATACTTTGCCACCTCAGTTAGCCATGTCAGTTCCCGATCCTCTGACACCATTTCCATGGCCAACAGGAGGTAAAGCAACCCCCGCCCGATGTCTTGGCACCTTCCATTATCCCCAGCTCTTCGGCGAGAGGACGCAAAACGTATATATATTCCCTGGAATGCTGTTTGGATTGGTCATTGTATTCCTCTTCTGCTACATCCCGTAGTTCTAGAGAATCACCGGAACCACATTGATCTAGCTTGAGGGGGGGACTTTCTTTCCTGCTAATTTTGGAATGGGTATATTGTGTCTTGATGAAGGGGAAAGTGGGTGGTGAGGAAATATCCGAGGGGATTGCGTGGTGGTTGAATTTCCCCACCCCTGTTACGGTGGTTGGAGCAGTGATCTAGTAGTCCTAAGGCCTTTGTGTCGAGCACTTTTGAATCAAAGCAGTCTACGTTTTTGGGCCCTAAATTATTATAGAGCATGTGGTAGTGTGGCCTAAATAATGTGAGATCGGGCAGATCAAGTAATAACTCTACCCGCTAGATGACGGGGAAATCCCAATAGCAGGGTGTACTGTACAGTACTCGAGTACGGAGACAAGTGGTTGTGCGGAGGCACGAGTAGTTGTTGCTAGAGAGCACGCGGTGGAAACTGCCCAGAGTGTTTGAACGTGCGCTGCTTCTTGGCATGAATATCTTTCCACGATAATTATAATACCGGTATTATTATTATGGTAGTTCATCTCCCCCCTAGAATCGACACGCTCATCCTCTTTCGAGTTGGTCATCGGTTTCCATCCGCGACTTCGTCCACGACCTGCTTTCCCCTGCCCCAGATCATGTCGCCACCGCCAGAGACTAACCACGGACTAGTTTCTATGATGATCAACCCTGGGTTTTGGCACGGAGTTGCGGGCATTGGACTGTTCAATCGGCTGTGACACCAGACTCGAGTATCATACGGTGTCGGTATGATACAGGATCGTGGGGTAGCTTTATTAACTGCGGGATAGATCTCTCGGGGGAAAATTCACCACGTTTATCAAGTCCATGATATAGTAGAGGAGCTAGTTGTCATAATTTAGTATGGTGGAGTGTTTGAGGTTAGGAATAGAACTCAACGTGCTTTAACAAAATCATAACTTGGATACTACGGGTACCGGTAGTATTACTGTTCCTCACGGTTCCCAAGTCTCGAGGATCAGCACCAGCACCGGTAGCACCCGCACCGGCATTTGCAACGTGGAGAGGAGCTTAGCCGGAATAGTGATATTGCAGAGGGAAAAAGAAAAAAAAGAAAAAAGAGTAAGTTCTAGTTCAGCCCCACAACTCACCAACCACTGACCATACCCCACGCCATTTGCCGTACTCGTAGTAATGGGCAGGGGGTGGTGGAGAAGTGAGGCTGTTGCTTTCTTCCATTGCCCGTGACTTACTATTTCATGTTGCCTCAACTTCAACTTCCCTACCTTATCCCAAAGGTGTACAAAACCTCATTACATCCTCAGGAAGGAGAAGATTTCGGGTTAGGGGCAGATCAAAATCGAATCGAGTCGAATCGGCCGTTACTGAAGAAATTCACATTACCGAGAAGGGAACCTTCCGAGTTAAAAGCGAATAGGGGATCAAACATCATGAGTTCCTCCGTGATCGAGAAGGAATTGACCTGCTCAGTGATTAGCCCCCCCTCTTGCTAATCTTACCCTAAGCCATCGCTTACGGGTTAAATAGATCTGTACAGACATCCTCTTCGACCCCGTAACCTTTCTCGACTGTCTCCATGCGAACTGCGGGGCATGCGCGAAATCGTGGTTCGCTTCGCTGAACAATTCCGGGTCCTCATCAAATAGGTTCACCTGCCCAGCATGTCGAGCGGTAGTAAAGGAGGCGAGAGCGGGCGGCCTGCTGCAGAACCTGGTTGATGACTTCGTCAAGAGCGATCCATCAAAGGATCGGACACTAGAAGAGAAGAGGAAGATGCGGTCATTGTACAAGCCTGGTGATAAAGTGCTTCCGTTAGCCGGGGGGTCGAGTAGTACGCCGCCAGTGGGAGCGCCAAGACTTTCGCAAAACTCACCGACTCCATCTTTTCGCATACCACCGCCGATCAGACTGCCGCCGGGGAACGCGTTTCACGGATCGCTCTTCCCGCTGCAAACGTCGCCGAATAGTGGCCCATTCCCACAACCTATTTTCCCTATCGCTTCGTCACCTGGCTCCTCCCTGACAAGCAGCTTTGAACAGCTATCCGTCACTAGGGATCCAGAATGCCATAGATGTTCTAAATCGCTGAAATTCGCCGTTCGTGGGATATGTGCGACCTGCGAGGAAGCCTTTTGCACACACTGTTACCGTGTTAACGAAGGCTGTGGCTCCTCATCACCCCCATCTTCGTCGTCGTCCTCCCCACCGCACGTTGTAATCTTCCAAAAGCAACGTCCGCTGCCGCAATCTATTAGTTTTGGCCTCTTCTGCGTCACCTGTGAGAGCTTTTGTGGCGGACCTAATGGCGCACTTTGGCTTTGCAGTTCCTGTCACTCCAGCGGCGACGATGAACTCTGGGGCTATTGCAGTGTGTGCGTGGGTAAGGGTAACTGCTGCACCCACGATCTAGAACTCTACACAAAACCCCCCCGCCACCTAGTATCTGCATCGCCACAATCCCCAGCAATGGAAATCCTCCACCAGGTTCAACAACACAAACGCCTGGTATCCCAGGGAGACTCCCCAAACACCCCGCGAGCTCGCATCCTAGCACGCGGGTATACGAGACAAACAGGCCACTGGGTAAACTGCGACTTTTGCCACCGCCGAATTTCCCCGGACAGTGCTTTTCTCCACTGTACTTTGTGCCGGGACGGAACGATGGACATATGCATGCAGTGTTACGACGTGACTCGCTCGGACGCAGACCCAAACTCTGCCACATTCAGATGCCCCCAGGGGCACAACTTTACCCTCCTGACGCAGTCCGGGAACCCGGGGTCGCAAAAGGTTATACTGTCCCCCCCGCACGACCCACCGGAGATGATCCCCCGCGGGCAGAATCTGAATCCATGGACTGCTGTTGCGCTGAAAGGGCACTGGCCAGATGAGGAGAACTCCTCAATTGGGAGTGTGAGCATGGGCGATCGGCCGGGCGTTCGCATGTGGGAGTATGGAGACCAATTGGCATTCCCTGAGGGCGCAGAGATTAGGGATGTGGCGCTTGCGTTTACCGAGGAGGTTGGCTCGGATCGGGTTACGTACTATTGGGGGTGGTATGGTGGCGTTGGGGGGTTGTTTGAGGGTGAATATGTTAGGATTGTGGATTAATGTTTATGAGTACCAGGGTGTGGGAATATGGGTGGGCAAAACCTTATTTCATTCAACTTCCAAACTCTCCAACTAAATGGATAGATGGACGGGTTTACCCAGTTTCCTTTCGGTTGGTTGGCTGATTCATGGTTTGCTTGCTCTTTTTTTTGTTTATGTTCTCTGAATACCCTCTGGCCGGGGTATGGCCTTTCTTTTTGTCTTGGGATTTGGAATTTGTTCGTGTGGGAGGGGATTGAATATGACGAGGTACAAAAGGATACATCCCCCATAGCGTGGTTATTGTCCGGGTTTAATTTGCAAATTGAAATGGCTTGAGTTCAATCATTCAGGAGCCAAGTGTGGAGAATGTGTGATTCCGGATACCAATGCCCTGATAGGTGTTTTCTATGACGCGAAAGAAAATGGGGCCGTGTCAAGCGTTATAGGGTGTATACCATACGGTGAGTATAGGGAAACATATGGTATTCTATCGCTTGGGTAAAAACTTACCTCCATGGCCTCAGTGATATTCACAATCGCAACCACCCATCCAGAGGTCGTGGAGCTATAGTACATATGCGGATTTATAATAGAACCGGCATCTGCATCTCGGAGATGCTCCCAATGCGCCCAACGGGCCGGAATACCCGCCGCCTAAGAAAAAATCATAATCTCAGAGCACATAATCCCGAACCCCTAGCACGGAGCCCACCGATCATCCTAGTGGGGGCTCCGGGGTTCATTGGAGATTTCCTATCATAGCTCTTATCCTCGCCCGCATTCTTCATCTCCTACCCTCATTCTGAGAAATGGTTAAGATAAGAGTGCTCCAGTGGGGTAGGGCAAGAATGATTTGTTTTCAATTCCATACTTAGACCTCCTGCCTGGCCTTTCGGTATGCATATAGATTCGGTCCACTGCAAGACTTCTTACGCTGGTCGTTACACATAGACCTCAGCACTCTCTTCCTGGGCCAAGATGAGCTTTTTCAGGAGGGGCCTCAACCCAATTATGCTTGGAGAAACAGTACCCATCCCGCCTATCAGTAGCTAGACCCGCCAGTGGACTGACCTTGATGAAATTTTATGTCCCAGATTTCCGTCTCTCTTTTTAAAGGCCTTTCTCCTGTTGGCTGGCTATTGGTTGGCAACCAGGAGTTACTAGTTATTGGGCAGTTACTAGGAAACATGGCACTACCAGTTGCTGTGTTGTTTTCTAGGTTAGTATTGGCGTTATTATTTTCACACTGGCAGCAATCATCCTCAGTTCCTCTTGGCAGTATCATACAACGCGATCAGAACCGGACATGCATCAGCATGAAATTCGCCATTTTAGTGGACCAAGCACTTCACTATAATGGCACATGAAATATCATTAAAAATATGCAGTAAGAGTGGAAATACAATAGTATTTGTAGCATCCCTAATAGATCCCAATCTGCTTCAGAAGTGACCGGTGAGAATGGACAAACGAATGAATAAATGATGCAGCTATTCTGTAGAATTGCTCTGTGGAGCATTCTTGTTAGATGACCCCGAGTCCTTAATATCCAACTCAGGCCATGTTTAGCATGCCGCACCAAAAGCATTTTTCTGACCTTTACACTTTTTTTTATTTTTAATCATACTATTATTATGGCTCAACTTTTAGGTATCCTAAATGGATTTCTGTCTCCACTGGAATAGTCCATAGGGTAGCTGCTGTATGGACGTGGTTTCTGCCTTTTGTCAAGGATTCCCGGACGTTGGAAAAAGGGCACAATCCCCAAGGGAAATGCTGTTTCTATGTGACGGAGGGCCTTAAAGTTGAAAAAAAAAAAAAAAAGTCTATTTTCCCTTAATAATAACTATTATATCCTCGAGTAATTTTTCTTAACCCACAAGTGATATGATATCATGTTACTCAGTAGCTTTAGACTTGGGGTCGATATGCAGAACGTCGAGATCATGTAGTGACCCAACTAGATATCAGCAGATTCGGGTCACCCCGCGAAGTAACGGTAGAAAAGGAAAAAAGAAAAGAAAAAAATACTAATTACTGAAGCTCATTGGCCCTGAAGGGATAAAGGAGGGTTTGCCCGGTATAGTTTTAGGCGTTCACTTATGAAGAAGAGGAGAGAAAGGGAGAGACCCTTAAATTTCTTATGTGCACCAAAATACTCACCTAATCGAAAGGAGAAAACTCCAGAACTGAATTCGCCGAGTAAGACATGGTGAGATATCCTGCTATCCACCTATTCATCCTCCACAAACATGTCTTATCATTACCCCACCGGAAAATCCATAGCATCTAGTTAGCTATATATGATACGGCGGGTGGCGGGCCTCACGCCAGATATACGTTCCACAGTCGGATTCTGTAATGCACCTACTTAGAGTAGGGCTACCTCGCTCTTCCTCGCGGTATGGTCCAGGGCAGGCACCATAAGCGTTAGTTTCCCAACATCCGTCAGAGGACAGGAGCTTTTGACCCCTCCGGCCCTACGTGATGCACGAACCACTCAACGATATCTCTGGTGATGACGCGGGATCCAACTCCTGGGATCTGGGTTTGATTATGATATCATGGTTTGCGAGGTCTTAATTGCTACGGGGGCATGGGGTTTACATTACGATGCCTGGGAAGAAACTTATCCTATCCTATCACACCGGAAGGTGTTTTTTTTTTCTCTTCTCTTCTCTCTTCCCTTTTTGCGCGTGATGTCTTGGTATATAGGGTGTTTTTTGAGAAAGCCACAATGTAGCAGCGGTGCAGTGGCATGAAAGGGTGGCTATGAGTTTTGGGGGGGGGGGACTGTTTAAGGAATTGTACCACGTACTAGAAGGATATATTCAGAAGTAAATGTTAGAGGTTAGAGGTGAAGAGGAAGAAAACAAGGTGTCATACGTTTGTGTGTGCGAGATGCGGGAGTTATGGATTACAGACCGACGGCCGAAGGCGGTTGGGTACCCATGATATTCACGACCCGCAAGAATACCGTTCTGGGCATTATGTCCGACTTTTAAATCATTGGCCAGACAGCGCGAGTGAGAGTCTATCATATTATACTTCTTGAAGTTCGAGCTCTGGGGTTTGTGGTAGAGTTTAGTATGGATCTTAATGCCCGCGAGGGGTAAATTGTTGGACGGAAGTGTTTCTTGGCTGCTCAACGCATATTTCCCCTATGGTAACGACTCCACAACCCTAACCCTCTTGGTATCAACTACTCCAACGCCTCTATGTTTGACTACTGGTTAGTCCTACACATAAAACACCATATGCGACAACATCTGTGACGATACCTGCGACGACTCCATGTTAGGGTGTTACCCCTATCATATGGAAATACCGAATGTCCTCGGCCAGAGCATACCCTCGGTCGAATTCACTTATCCTCGGCTGAAGTGGCACAATGGGCAATAGTGAAACTGAATGTGATGGAGAACATGGCCTACGCTGGAAGTATGTGGAAACAGATCAGTATGATCTAGGGAAGGATAAAAGGAAGCTTGTTTTCCCTTTGTTAATTGTTTTCGTTCATTATCCAATCTGTCTCTCTTTCCTCCGTCACCTGCGATTGGGTCATATCAGTCTTTCCCGTTTTTTATTCCCTATCGTTTTCTTCGTGAGAATATTTCTCCGTTTAGGATATTGAAATTCATCTTTACATCTTTGCCCTGCCATTTATATTAAGTCAACATTGTCCAAATCGCTGCTGTAAACCTTGTTGTTTAAAATAAATTAGCGATTAGGGAACCTCCTGGTGGTTATATTTCATTGCGTTCAGCCCACGACACTGGGTTTTAGATATGGAGTGTAGACCCGTACGGAAACACAGTGGACATGCTTCTAAGGCGAAGGCTTCTTGGATCCGTAAGTGATATTCTGTGATTAATATTTTCTAGACATTTTCATAACAATATTGGGTTGGATTGCTTGATATGTAAGCCCACATCCGGGATCACCGAGCTGGTGGGTTTGTTTGGAATTGGCGATTCGGGGCTCTCTAGGTACCATCATTCTCGCAACTAACTTTAGTTCTTAAAGAATGGATCAAGTCATCTCCCACCAAGGACTACCTCCTCAGGGGAAAATCGTCAGGGGACGCGCACGGTTACTGGTACTGGATAGGTTGGAAAGTGCCGCTATTTTAACTTACTAAATTAGCACACTCCTATAGCATAAGGCCTCGCCAATATTACATTCCAATAACTCAGCACCACATATACAGACAAAGGGAAAAGATAATTTGTCTAGCACAAGCGAGTATTCGAGTGACAGGACGTGTCCCGGGCCCAGGTTAGTTCGATGAAAGGATAGATAGATAAGGTGCTACTAGGTCAGGTTGCGTTCCTCCTCCTCATTGGCTAACCTAGCAGGCACCTACCTCGCACCGATGCCCTCACTCGTTAGTCCGCAATCCGCCGCGGAAGAACCAAATTCAGACAAGTAGCGCCATCATGCCAAAGGTATCACGTGGCCCCATGAAAAGTCCTCTCCTCCATCTCCGCTCCCACACACCTCTAAATCCATACTGGCCCACTTCGCACTCCCAACCCCTCTCCTTAAAATACCTATCGCCCTTGGAGCAGCTCCTACCTCCAAGGCTACGTGCATCGGCGCCCACCCTCTCACAGGGTCCCTTCACCTGATGGGCTTCTTGCAAGTTGTTGTTGCCCCATGCGTTCTGAGATTGGTTCTTGCTAGGGGAGCTTTGGTTCATAGACTTTAAAAAACGGTTTTAAAGATGCCCACTGGCGGAAACGCCGATTAAGGAGCTCGCGGCAGTAGGCCAGATCAGGGCGTCTACCGGGTCCCCTGGATTTCGCTAATTTTTTCCATCCCTTGGCAGTGGATGAGGAGGATGGAAGCGCGGGCTACCTCTATTGTGTCCTCGGAAGTCGGGAGTTGCACGAAGCGGATGGCGCCCAAACACAGCACCCAACCTAGTCCTTTGATGTTTGAGCGCTTCACTACCGTTTATGCCATGTTAGCGTGGAAAACCCCGCTGAAGTTCTAGAAAAGTAGCTCCCACTACTTGGGGGGAAGCTGTGTGTGGGCAAGGCCGTTAGCACAGTGTCGGTAAATACCCGCAAGGCCCCACTAATATAGCAAAGCGAGATTATGTACCAACACCCCCCAGGGATTGATTGGTTCACGGGCTGGGTAAAAAAAAACATGAGTCGATATAGTAGGCAAACGGGGTATGCCCAGGGCTGAAAAGACACTATTAACGAGTTCCAGGTAATTAGGCCAAGTATGTCATTCTAGGTGGAAACTGAAAACCCCCTATTAAGGTAGAATCAAGAATTATCGTCAAATCCCCAAATCATACCAGACTATGGG